TTGGAGCAGCAGAGGTGCCTCACACATCTGCACTCAGCTGGCAGAACAATGCACCTACCCTTCTCTCACACCCCTGGTCCTCTCTCTAGGGCACAGACTGAGGTCCCTGACTGGCTCTCTTTTGTCTCTTATTATTTATTTAGTTTATTCATTCAATAAATTCATGAGGAGATTTTGGCATATGCCAGGCTAGCATAGGACATATAGAGGAGATTCAGGTCCCTTCCTCCCCAAGTTCACAGCCAGGAGGAGAGAGAGACAGAAGGACAGACAGACAAACAGGCACAACCCTGGCAATCTGACATGACACCGAGGAGGTGTGTGCTAAGGAGCAGAGAGGAACGGAACAGGTCAGGGAAGGCTCCCCCACATGAGCTGAGCACTAGAAACCTTGCAAGAGGTGCCAAGAGGGGAAGTGACAGAGCCCTCTCTGCTCCAGGTGACAGGAGCAAAGACTCGGGACCAAAAGGGAGGGCTGTTCTGGAGGCTGCAAAGTACGGTCACCTGGGCTTTGAGCATCTCCCAGGGACTGTCTCATCCCCTCTCTCCCTGTCTCTACCTCCCAGTGGTCTGTCTAGGCTCCCTCTCCCGACCCCAAACACTTCTAAAGGGCAGTCAATCTCCCTCTGCAGGGCTGAAGTGCCTAGAAGTTGGCCCCTATAAAATAGGCTCTAGCCGAGACCGGTTTGGCTCAGTGGTTAGAGCTTCAGTCTGTGGACTGAAGGGTCCCAGGTTTGATTCTGGTCAAGGGCATGTACATTGGTTGTGGGCACATCCCCAGTGGGGGGCGGGGGGACGCGTGCAGGAGGCAGCTGGTCGGTGTTTCTCTCATAGATGTTTCTGGCTCTCTATATCTCTCCCTTCCTTTCTGTAAAAAATCAATAAAAAATATTTTTAAAAAATAAAAATAAAAATAAAAATAGGCTCTAAAAGAGTTGGGTTCACACGAAAAAGTGGGGAGGGGAAAGAAGAGGAGTGCTCACAAAATAAGTGCCCTGGCCACAGACTCTGCCCCTTTCGCTAGAGGAGGTTCTGAGAGCTGGGCATGGCCTGAGACAGCAAGACAGGTCCAGAAGCAGGCTTGGAGCCGGTCTCAAATTTTGAATCAGTTGGCTCCCTACTTTCCAGGCCTGCGAGGAGACAACTTCCCTCTTCCTACCTCTTCCCCTATTGGCCTTAACCTTTTCATCATCTCCAACCCCTTTTGAGAAGCCACTATGTTATGTAACATTGTCCCCAGAAAATGCACCCACTTGGGCTCACATGCATAATTTAACACACAATTCTGGAGTCTGCAGAGCTCCTGCAGCCCAAAGAGCCCTAGGGTTCCTCTGGTTAAGAACCCCATGGTCCTGGGATTAAGACCTGAGTCAGAAAAAAAAAAATAGTCTTCAAATCTTAATGATTCCAAAATAGGCTGTGTGACTTTGGATGGGTTACTTAACTTCTCTGGGCCTCGTTTTTCTTATATGTAAAATCAGGGTAATAACAGAAGCTACCTCACAGAGTTGTAATATATGAAATGAGTAAAAATCTTAGCCCGAAGCCAGGCTCACGCAGGAAGGGATTATGGTGTTTATTGTCACAGTTATTGTTGTTGTTACTGCAGATGGTGGCCCGGGGCAGAATATAAAAACCAAGTGGGCAGTCCCGGTTCAGCCAGGGTGGCAGGAGGCCATCTATCGAGTCTACTTCGATGGCAGAAGAAACACTCTCTGAATTCCACAAGGGGAGTCAGAGCAGCAGTTGCTCAGGGGACAAAAATGATCCCAATTGGTGGTCAAGTTAACTTATTTCAAGTGGTGTCAGAACCTTCCCTTCAGGGAAGCTCTGGCCTGAGGGCCAGTGCTGGTGCTCACACAGATGATCTGGAAACAGACGGGGCTACCAAAACAACCTGGATTAAAGCCGATGGAGCCTTTGGGAATTGACTTGAATTATTCTCCTGTGCAAAGGAATAAGTCATTTTGTTTGGGTCTACAGGGTCCCCTTATCCTGGCAATTCATGCAATATGCTTTGCTTCCTCTTTGTCTGGGATATTCACTAGAGAAGGGGGAAAGCAGATATTTGGCAACATGAACCCTTCCCTTTCCCCTTCCCCTGGAGACAGAAGAAGGCTGGACCCTGGTGGTATAGGCAGCAAGCACACATTTGGGCATCAGGACACAGCCAGCTTCCAGAGACAGCAAACTGCAAGGGACAAGCTATTCCAGCCACTGGCTCAGCTCACTGGGGGTTGAGGATCCCACAGTGTCTTCCCAACCCAGCATGGGGTCCCAGGCGGAAGGTTAGATTTTGGAGAGCAGCTGGCAGGGTTCCTTCTTGCCACCCCCCACCCATCTGCCCCTGAGTCACTCTTCCTTCCAATTTTCAAAATCTCCAAATATCCTGATTGGGACAGTCAAGGCTCAAGACTTTCCCCTCCACAATATACAATCATTTGTATTTCATTTGCTCCATAACAACTCATTCAACCAATACACAGAGGGTGCCAGGTGATTGGGGTGTACGGAATTCCCAGGTAATGGCCCCTGCCCTCAAGGACCTCCAGGCTTGTCTGGTGGGAGAAGAAGTGAATCTGACCTCAAACCCAAAACATAGCTCCTTGCTCTGCAGGACGGGTGTGGGCTCCCAGGAGTTCAGAAAATTCTAGCTACCCACACATTGGAGTCTGTAGTGGGGGAGACGGGGACTGTGGGATATGGAAAAGGTTGGTGGGGCAGTTGGGCTGTTTTTTTTAAAAATGGCCTAGATGAGGTGATGCAGGCAGGGGACCCTAAGCAACAAATTGGGTGGGCAACACCCCCAGGGGCCCCTTGAACTCCTAGCTGTGCCAAGCTGGAGCACAGGAGTTGAACAAATTAGGCCCACAAGACAAAGCCTCGGGATTGAGCGGCTGTTGCTGGCTAGGAAAGGAAGAGGAGGTTTGGCCATAGTCGGTGAAGGAGGTAATAAAGCAGATGACTGTAGAATGTCCTGTCCACTTTAACATGATGAGGTTGAAGACTAAAGGCCCCAGGAAATAGTGCCCTAGTGGAGAAATTCTATGCCCACCCCCCCCCCTCTGCTCCCCAATTACATTCCTTCTCTTCCTGGCAGCCTCATAGTACTTTAAACTTTGCTAATCCCTGAGGGACCGGGAGATGGTCCTACAGGCCAACATCGGGTGTGGACACAGGAACAGATAGGAAGAAGGGGGGAGTGTGGGAAGAAGCCCCTTCCAGATAGAGACCCAAGAGTCCCCGTTCTCTGCTAGCCTGGGGCATGTGTCTTGCTTCAGGCCTGGGGCTGGGCTTTGGGTTATGGCAGGAAAGAGCTGCGGGCCGGAGGCTGAGACAGGACCCTGAGAACCATTCTCAGTCCCAGAACATCCAAGCTAGCCGTGTCCAGCTCCCTGGCACCCTCTCATCTCTAGACTCTGACCCCGGGGTTGCTGGGCCCTCGTGGCTCCCAGAACAGCGCCGATGCACTAGAGACAGGCCTGCCTTGGGGATCATTCTGGGGCCCTGGGGGAACGGAGAGCCCCATTCTCCCCCTTCCTGCCTCTGAATACCTGCCCCCCCCCAAAAAAAATGCTGGACAAAAATGGGGAAGAGGGTAAGTAGCTCTTCCCAATGCTCCCACGCAGGCCAGCGGCAAACACTGGGGTCCCAAACAAGAATCCTTTATCCCTGCACTGTCCCCTTTCCTCTGGAGACCTGCAAGCCATGTTCCAAACCAGTAACTAAAAGGGAGAGAAAGCAGCCAACCCATTTCTGGTGCACTGAGGTCCCTCATGCTGGAGGCAGGGAGAGAACCTGTCCCCAGCCCCACAGCCCAGCCTGGCTCACTTTCTCTCTCTCTCTGGGGCAGGAATGGGGGCTGAGACGTCCAAGAGGTCCTATTTTCCCCATTCCAACCTCCGGACTGGGCCACAGTCCTTGGCACCAGCCTCTCTGGGCCCTTCTCCGACGAAGCAGGGCTGCCGGGTGGCATCGCCTGCCCAGGAGTTTACAAACAAAGCCAGGGAAAGGGCTGAGGCTGCGGGGAAGGGAACAGTTCTTCCTCTCTTGGTCCCAGCCGCCCCCTGCCTCCCCTTCTCTCTCCTGGCCACAGAAATGGGAAATTAGGGTGGAGGGGTCAGCGTCCTCACACAGACTAGATGAGTGAAGCAAGAGAGAAAAGAGCCAGGAGCACAACCCCCTTGGGTGCCTCAAGAGAATGAAAGACATGACATAGGTAAGGGTTCACGCTCATCTACCCACAGATTCACATTTGTTTACACAAATATACCGATGGGGAACGGCATACAAATATACACGCGTTCAAAAGCACAAACACATCCAAATACCGAAGCGCACAAATGCTTGCCTGATGTACACAGAACGCGGGGCCGCAGGGTTCCCAGGCCATAGTCTGACCCGAACCCCGGCCTCTCTGCGGGTTCCCAAGAGCAGCCCGAGCCGCCAGGCCCTCTCCGGCCCCCGCCCCGCATCCGGAGCAGCTGGAGTCGCCAGCCGGGCGGTACACTGGAGCCCGAGCCCGGGGCTGGGCGGGGCGGGGCCAGCAGCGGGCCGCGGGCCCGGCCAGCAGAGCGCAGCAGGGAGGCCCCGGCCGGCCCGTTAGCCCGGGCCCCCGCCCGACCGCCGGTCTGGTCGGACGCCGGTCACCAGGCGGCCTCTAGAGCATCGGCCCAAGGAAAGTGTGCACGATTGTCTGAGGAGGTAAGACTGTCCCTTTGGGACCAGGCCCGAGGAGAGGTGCCTCGAGCCACCACCAACTCTCACCCCGCCTCCGGGCTGGGGAAGGCTGAGTCCTCTACTAGTCCCCTCCCCCAACGCCTGGGGTTCCCACACCCCCGTGTCCCAGGTCGCCTCGCACAGAGCGGTTCAGACCTCCTGATTCCCCAGGTGCCTGGCCCCAAGGCCACGGCGAGGGGCGGGAGAGGCTAGGGACAGGGGCGCTGGGTCCTTGGCCACAGCTCTCTCTCCAAAGTGCGCGCCGGGCGCTGGCGGGTCCCACCCCAGCTCCTTGTCTTACCTGGACCTCGTGGCGGCTGCTACCTCCCAGGCTGGACTCCCCAGCCCTTCTCGGGCGTCCAATCCCGTCCAATCCCGGGTCGGAGAGCCGGAGACCTCGGGGCCAGCGCTGCCCTCGCAGCCGGGCCGGCGGGAGGCGGGTGCGCCGCCGGGAGCGAGGCTCGCCGTTTGGGGTGGGGGCGGCGGCGTTTCGGTCGTCTGAGGTTCGGGTGCCATAAAGGCTCCCTCCGCTAATGTAATTTACCAACAGCTCGGCGGGCCGAGCGCGGCGCGGCGCCCGGACTGACAGGCGCATTAGGCAGGCTAATTCCAGCCGGCTCCTCCTACCCCCGGCCCGCTAATTAATGAGCTTCCCAACTTAGAGCCGCCTGCATTGGACAGGCAGAGAGTGAAAGAGAGGGCGAGGGCGAGGCAGAGAAGGAGAGGAGAGACGGGGGGAGAGGAGAGGAGAGAGGGCGGGAGAGAGAGAGAGAGGGAGAGAGAGAACAGGGGGAGAGAGGACAGAGAGAAAGAAAAGAGGAGAAAGGCAGGGAGAAAGGAGGAAGAGACAGAAGTGCCTGCTGCCGATAATTGATGACTCCTCGATCAAGGCTAACTTGTTAGCAATAGTCAATTGCCCATCTCTCCGCCTCCCCTCGCAGTACGGGATCTGTGCACTCGCCTCGGCTCTCCCAACTGCCGCCGCCTCCAGGAGCCAGGAGCCGCGGCGGAGCCACCTGACACCCTTAAATAGCACCGGGGCCGGCGAAACTGGAGCCCCGCGCGGCGCGCCCCGGCTCGGGCCCCGGATTGCTGGAAGCCCCGGCGGCGGCGTCAGCACCCTCCTCCCGGGGCTCCGGGCAGCTCTGCCCGCCTCTGCCGCTGCGTTAACCGGCCCCACACCCGGCCGGCGCTTGGCCCGCGCCCTGCCTGGCGCGGCCTCCTGCCCACCCGCCGCCGCCGCTTGCTTTCCCGCGCCGCCCGGCGCCCGAGCTGCCCGCGGGCTGGGTCCCCGCAGCCCGAGCCGCCCCGGCCGGGCCCCCCAACGAGGCCGAGATGACTTCCAAGGAGGAAGGCAAGGCGGCGCCGGGGGAGGAGCGGCGGCGCAGCCCGCTGGACCACCTGCCGCCGCCCGCCAACTCCAACAAGCCGCTGACGCCGTTCAGCATCGAGGACATCCTCAGCAAGCCGTCCGTGCGGAGAAGTTACTCGCTGTGCGGGGCGGCGCACCTGCTGGCGGCCGCCGACAAGCACTCGCCCGGCGGCTTGCCCCTAGCGGGCCGCGCGTTGCTCTCGCAGACCTCGCCGCTGTGCGCCCTGGAGGAGCTCGCCAGCAAGACCTTTAAGGGGCTGGAGGTCAGCGTCCTGCAGGCAGCCGAAGGTAGGTGCTGCCACCGGGTTCCCCTGCGCCCCAGCGTCCAGAGCCCCCCGTGTCCCATGCCCAGCGCGCTCCGCGCCCTGTGCCTCTGCCAGCCTCCTCCTGCGCAGGCCGGCCGTCAGGGCCCTCCAGCCCAAACCGCTGCCGCCAGGAGTGGAGATGCGAGGGACAGGACCCAAACCCCATTTCCTAGGGACTGCTGGGTAGGCCAGAGTGACCGGGAAGGGATGGCGGGAACACAAGATATTTCCGCGGCCGGCCTGCCCTGCCTGGCTCCCTCCTGTTCCCAGTGGCCTGGGCACTCTGAGCCCTGCTCCCAGGATGAGGAATGGAATGGAGAGCCTTTTGCTGGGAACTTTTGAGTGAGGGTAGAGTTGGGGTAATTGGGAGGAGAGGTGGAGTACCAACATTCACAACGAAGCCAGGACTTGCCCATCTGGCTCCCTCCTGCTCTAGCAACCTTGGGTCTTTCAAACCAACTCTTTGGGGGGCCACGGGAAGGGAGGGGAAGGGAACAAAACATTTTTTTTTCCTTAGGGACTTCTGGTAGAAGAGAGGCTGGGGAAGGGGGGTTGCAATGGCCGAGGCTTTGTAATTGCCCGGGAAGCCTAATCCAAACCGAGCCAGGAACAGTGTTGACAAACCACAGACCCCATGAGGCCGGGTGGGGTGAGCGAGCGGGAGTGGGTGGGTGTCCTTCTCCCGTGGCGCAAACCTACCCTGTGGTTTCCTCGCAGGCCGGGACGGAATGACCATCTTCGGGCAGCGGCAGACGCCCAAGAAGCGGCGAAAGTCGCGCACGGCCTTCACCAACCACCAGATCTACGAGCTGGAGAAGCGCTTCCTCTACCAGAAGTACCTGTCCCCCGCCGACCGCGACCAGATCGCGCAGCAGCTGGGCCTCACCAACGCCCAGGTCATCACCTGGTTCCAGAACCGGCGCGCCAAGCTCAAGCGGGACCTGGAGGAGATGAAGGCCGACGTGGAGTCCGCCAAGAAACTGGGCCCCAGCGGGCAGATGGACATCGTGGCGCTGGCCGAGCTGGAGCAGAACTCGGAGGCGGCGGGCGGCGGCGGCGGCGGCGGCGGCTGCGGCCGGGCCAAATCCAGGCCTGGCTCCCCCGCACTCCCTCCGGGCGTCCCGCAGGCCCCGGGCGCTGGGGCCCTGCAACTCTCGCCCGCTTCCCCGCTCACGGACCAGCCTGCCAGCAGCCAGGACTGCTCGGAGGACGAGGAAGACGAAGAGATCGACGTGGACGATTGAGCGGACTCAGACTCTTCCGCCGCCCAGGGCCCTGGAAGCCCGTAGGCCTGCAGCCTCCCGGTCGTCAGACGGACGGGACCGCGGAGGGGAGCTGGGACCTCCTCTGCAACTCCCGCCTCCTCCCTTGGCCCTGGCCCGGTCTCGGCTCCCCGAAGCCGCCTCTTCCCTCTCGAAGCAATAAACCTGGCTGGCCGGCCCGGCCGGCCGCAGCGCAGGGCCTCCGCTGCCCCGAGCCCGCGCGGAGCAATTCCGTATAGCTTCTGTATAAATATTTAAACCTCGATAGCGGGTTCTCCCACCGCAGGCTGAATTTTTTTTTTTAATCTCGGAGATTTTCATGTTTTCAAAGCTCCCAGGCTTCGGGGTTTGCTGAGAGCGAGCGAGGCGGCACGGAGGGTGATGGGTATGGAACCTCGCGATCTGGAGGAGGGGGCCGCCAGGACAGTTTTGATTTTCTCTGCATGTGGCGAATGCACCGGCCCTCTTCCTCCTCGCCTCCCCAGGCCTGTTGCAGTTGACTTCTTTTATTTCCTCCTGCATTCCCCCCCCCCTCCGAGTTGAAGGGGCTGAGGTGGGCAGCCGGGTCCTGACTTGCAAGTTTCAAATTGATCTTTTCTCCCCACCTTGAGGGAAGTCAAAATTTTCTATGCCATTTCTGCCTCTCGATGCCCACTAATGCTATTTTTAAGATTCCTTCTCTCTCTCTCTCTCTCTCTCTCTCTCTCTCTCTCTCTCTCTCTCTCTCTCCCTCTTTCTCTCTCTCTGTTTCTTCGGACTGACTGCTGGGATCCGGGTCTTGGGACAAAGTGGGAAATCCAACCAACCAAGCAACCAACGAAAAAAAAAAGGAACCCAAAGCCCTAGAATTATTTTTTACTCTTTTTAGAATTTTTTTGCATGTGACAGAGTCTGAGAGGAGGTCCACCGAAGCCCTCCCCCACCTCCTCCGCAGCTCTGGGTCTGTCTTGCAGCCTCCAACGCCCTGTTCCTAGCTGACTCGGCCAGAGGAGGGTGGCCAGATGAGGGTGGGCCCTGCGTGCCCCTTCCCTGCTCCTGCCCTGCCTTTTCGTCCCGTCCCCGGACTGTACCCAAGGCCTCTTTCTCCGATAAATAAAGTCTTTGCCATTTTATTAGAAGCGGTGGTGGCCGTGTCTAAATGAGCGGGCCCGGTAGGGAAGTCGCGGCAGGCTCCGTGCGTTGCTCACCGCTGGCGGCACCGGCCTCGGAGGCTGGAGGAGTTGGGGCGGCGTGAGAGATCGAGGTGCGGGAGAAGTGGTGGGAGGAGGTGTTTCTGGCCCGCAAACACCGGCAGGGAAGGGCTGGGGAGGGGGGAGTGAGACGAGCCCGCTTCGTCAGGTCGGGGTAAAAGCCGGATGTACAATGCAGGGCGCAAACGCTCGTGTTAAGTTGGGGAGCGCCAAGGACAAGAAATTAATTTGCATGTGGCAAAGGGTGGAGAGGGATTTGCCCTGAGGTCTGTGCAACCCGCCCGGTACCCAAGGGTATTCTCCTGCGCTCCCGGGGCTGGGCTGAGCCTCGGTGCCCGGTGCCCGGTGCCGGTGCCGGCAGCTCTAGCCTAGCAGACAGGAGGGAGATGGACCCTGAGAGACAGAGGCCTCGCCCTCTTGGGAGGGAGAAAAATGCGGCTGAAGGCACCGAGGGCAGCCTGGATAGCGCACCCAGGCACTGGGCTACGTGAGCCCAAAGCGGCTGGGAGTTGCGGTACATTTCTGGCGACTTTCACGAATTGCGGGGCCGAAATGGGCTGAGGGCAGAGACATCAATCTCCCCAGGACCCGCGCCCCAGGGGGGCTGGGGTATAAGCAGCTTTCACTTTTCCGGAGTGAGCGCGTTTCTCTGGGGCTTTTGTTGTCCCTGGGCTGGCGAGTGGCCGCTGTCACCCGAGGAGGGTCCCGCCTCCAGGCCGCTCAGCTCCCTTTCTCCGCCAAATTGATGTGAGAAACGTGCATCTGGTCGCGGGCAGGCAGTGGGGCCCCGGGGCCTGAGTCAGGGACGTGAGTGTCCGGGATGAAACTGGGAAACAGAAACAGAAAAGGGGGCACAGGAAGACACTCCAACGGCAAAGGAGAAATTGGAAAGCCGCAGACAGAGAGAGAGAAAGGAAGACAGAGAGAGAGAGAGAGAGAGAGAGAGAGAGAGAGAGAGAGAGAGAGAGAGAGAGAGAAAGAGAAAGAGAGAGAGAGAATATAAGAGAAAGAGAGAGACTATAAGAAAGAGGGGCGAGCGAGAAGCTGGAGGAGAGAAGGAAAGAAGGAGAGAGGCGGCGGCTGGCCGGCGGTCCTCCGGGGCGGCATAAATCGCCCTCTCTCAGGATGGATGGGTCTGTAATTCGTAGCGCGGACCATGAAGGCCGGGACGAATGGACCCGGGCGGCCGCTGACAGGCGACAATAGCCGGGCCCAGCCCCCCGCGGCTCTGGGTGCGGGCGCGGCCGGGGCCCTCCGCAGCCCAGAGCGCGCTGGCGCTGGCGACCATATGGTTTTTGAATTTTCTTCACAATTTGTAGACAATTTGATGGATTAGGTCCCCGCGCGCGTCTCCCCGGCACAAAGGCGGCGCAGGGACCGCGGCGCTGCGGTCACCCGGGCATCTGCGCCCGCCGAGCGCCCCCCCCCCCCGCACCCGGCCCCCGCCTCGCGCCCCAGCCCCAGGCCGCCCGCCCAACACGCCCATGAATCCCAATGAAGCGGCCCCGGCACCCCGGCCACTTCCCGCTCCCAGGTCCCGGGCCGGGCCCTGCTGCGTCCCTTCGGGCTGGGGGCACCGCCCGGGCCGGGCCCACCCGAGCGGCGGCGCCTGCGGGGCGCGCGGCTAAGCAGGCGCAACGGGGCTGAGGGGAAACGGGGCCATTTATCCGCCCGTCTAGTTAAAGCGGGTTATTTGTTTGCTTCTCCGGCCTCCCCCCTCCCTTCCCCTCCCCGTCCCCTCCTCCCCCTCCCTCCCCTTCTGCCTTTTATTCTTTTGTCTCTAAATGGATTTAATGAGCCTGAAAAACATGACAATTGAATATAACCAAGAAATAAAAAATAACGAGAGGGAGGAAGAAAGAGAGAAGGAAGGAGGAAGAGGAAGGATCAATCAAATAAAGGGAAAGAAGCATTCGATTCTTCACATTCAGCAAATGTTTATTGTGTATCTTTTGGGCGCCTGGCTGTGGCCACACTGGGTGCTAGGGGCATGGACATAAACCCGATCCAGTTCCTGCCCTCAAGAAGCTCCTAGTTTAGCAGAGGATAAGACCCGATCCCCCCCTCCCCCCCTCCCCAATCCCCCCCGCGATGAGGGGAGACCTGGGCTGAGGGGCAGGGAAAGGCCTTTGCAGAACTTGGGGACAGGGCTCCTGGCTCTGGGGTGAGGGGGCTTCCTGCCGTGAAAGACAGGCAGGAAGGCGTTGTTTCTCTGGGCCTGAAAGAGGGTCCGGAAAGAAGGACCGGGATGCCGTCAGAAGGGAGGGGAGCGAGGCGCGCACAGGCTCTGGGCTGAGCCCCGGCCCGGAGGCCCCGGGACCGCGCCACCTCCGCCCGCTCAGCTCCGCACAATCTGGGGAGCAGATTCGACCCGTCCCGCAGTCCCTTCAGCCCTGCTAATCCCGTGCCACCGGCAGGCCGCCGGGCAGGACTCCGGAAACCCGCCCAGAGCCCATGTGGCCCTTGTGGCCCGACCCTGACCCGCTCGAGGCTGGTTTTCCGTCCCCACTAGCCCCGCACGCAGGCCGGCCCGAGGGCTTCACTGCGGGCGGGAGCGCGGGGCCGGGACGGAGGGCGGAGCTGGGTGCCCGCCCGCCCTCTCCCCAGCACCCCGCCGGAGGGGAGCTACTCCCCGTCCGCAGGCCCGGAGGACGATCGGTAGCTTTGGCCGAGCCCTGGGCGGTGTGAAAGGGCCTCGATCGCCAGCGCGGGGCCTGGACTTCCGAGCGGAGGGCGCCGGGCCTGGCCGGGGTGCGGCCGCGCGTCGTGTGAGCCCGGAGGGAGCGGGGCGTGTGCGTTTCGTGTGTTATTCTCCAGGCGTGTGTGCACACGTGTGCGTGTGGCAGGGGTCGTGTGAGGGCTGAGGGCCCTGCGCCCCTTCTCAGGTGAGGTTCCTTAAGGTTAGGGCCCTCCGATCCGGGCCGCTCGCCCTGGGCCCGGGTCCCTCGCCGCCTGGGGCCGTGGAGGCGAAGGAGCCCGGGCCCCTGGTTTCTCTGCAGCCCGGGCTTTCGGTTCCCCGCCGCCCGGGGGAAGCAGCGCAGTTGTGTCTCTTCCTTCCCCGCTGGGTCCGGGGCCTCGGCCCGGCTCACCTAGTCCCCGAACAAGGGCGGTTTGTGCTCTCCGGGCCCCGGACCCCGCAGCGCCGGCCGGCCCGGCCCCACCGCGCGCTCCGGCCGCCTCGCCGGCTCCGCTCCGCCTTCCCTGACCCGGGGGCCGGCGGGCGGCGCCGGGTGAGGCCGGGAGGCGCAGTTCCTTATTTTACGAGGTGTCGGGCTGGTGTCAGACGCAGCTCCGATAAGTAATACTCCAGTCTGAGGGACCAGAACGTGGTAATTAATCCCAAAGACTTAAGTGTATTTTAGTTCAGGAGAAAAAAATCACTAATTCAATCGTCCGGAAAATTGAAGTTTGATGCATGAGTCCCCCCCTGAAAGGGACGGGCTGGGGCCAGCGCGCCTCCCCTCCGCCCCTGCCGGTTGCCGAGGGGACCCCCCTCCTCCCCACCCTCCCGAGCCTTCAGGTGGAGGGAAGCCCACTCGCACCGGGGCCGCTCAGACAGGCGGCGCCTTGCTCCTTACCCCCGCAGCCAACCTCTCTTCCTTGGGGCTCAGAGAGCAGTTTGGTTTGTGCTGATCATACAGATGTTCCCCCAAAACACACCCCTGTGAAGGGGCATAAGGGAGGTTAGGGGGAGTGACTAGGGAAGAGGGTCAAGGGCTGCAAAAGGCACGTAGGAGAAGGGACCGTGGGCCTGAAGGAATTGGGATCCTGAGGGCAGCAGGTCGGAGGCTGCTGTGGTACAGGCAGAAGTGCATGTGCTGGAGTTGAGGTGGTGCGAGTGGGGTTAGAAGTGTGTCTGTGCCTCCCCGTGGTTGGTGGTGGTTAGTCTGCAGAAGAGAGGGTAGGTGGATTGTGGAGGGAACGAGTGCATCTCTAGATAATGCAGGTACATGAATGGTGGTCTCAGGCAGAGGTTGGCAGGCCTGTCCCCAAGCTGATTCACAGGCCGCGCCTTCCAAAGGAGAGGCTTCTGGGACTGGAGAAAGGCAGGTACATGACGCATGTGGGGGGGGGGGGGAGAGCAATACTCTGGAGGGAGGAGAATGCCCACCCATGGTTCCTTGGGGCCCCACCCTTTCATTCCAAGATCCAAGGCTGCCAGAAGCTAGTCCGCTTGCCTCCTCCTAACCAATACCAGTCCCTGGAGAGTCCTGGGACTAAGATTGTGTGTGTGTGTGTGTGTGTGTTGTCAGCTTTGACAGGGTGTGTCGTGGAGTGTGTCAGAGAGTTGTGCAACTGAGAGACTGGGCTTGTGTGGCTGATTGATGGAAACTGAGCATGTATGGCTGGGGGTGACTGGGTGTGTGCTGCTGTGTGTGTGTAACCAATTGTTGTGAACTAGTGTGTGCAACTAGGTGTGACTAAGTCTGTGCAGTGGAGAGGAAAGGAGTAAAGCTGTCACCGGGGTGGGTGTGACCACCGGGTGAGTGATGCCCCCAGGGTGTGCGATG